GCGCACTCTAGCTGCAATATCAAGCTTCGGCGCTCATGGGCGCGCACTCTCAAGCTTGGGCGCGCATGGGCGCGCACTCTAGCTGCAATATCAAGCTTGGGCGCTCATGGGCGCGCACTCTCAAGTTTGGGCGCGCATGGGCGCGCACTCTTGCTGCAATTTCAAGCTTGGGCGCTCATTGGCGCGCACTCTCAAGCTTAGGCGCGCATGGGCGCTCACTCTAACAGCAATATCAAGCTTGGACGCGCATGGGCGCGCACTCTCAAGCTTGGGCGCGCATGGGCGCGCACTCTAACAGCAATATCAAGCTTGGACGCGCATGGGCGCGCATTCTCAAGCTTGGGTGGGCAATATCTGGTCTAGGCGTGCGTGGGCGTGCACTGAAAATAAATATCTGATCTAAGCGCGCGCGGGTGCGCACTGAAAAATAATTATCTGATCTGGGCGCGCACGAGCGCGCACTAAAAATAATTATCTGACCTGGGCGCACGCGGGCGCGCACTGAAAATAATTATCTAATATGGGCGTGCGCGGGCGCGCACTGGAAATAAATATCTGATCTGGGCGCACGCGGGCGCGCACTGAAAATAATTATCTGATCTGGGCGCGCGCAGGCGTGCACTGGAAATAAATATCTGATCTGGGCGCGCGCGGACGCGCACTGAAATCTAAATTCAATCTTTGCTTGGGGCCAATATACTACTGCTTGTAATAGGATGGAGTGATTACTGCGCGCAAGACTTGGCCTTCTCTTAGGGCCTGACCACTATTGCCATCAAATGCAGACTAAGTACTCAGTTGAAACAGACACTGGTACCCTGGCTCGGAGTTGGTCATGTATGACCATCACTCGCAACAGCGCACAACTACGGACAACTGAAAAATGGCCCTCAGTCATGGTGCGCAACAACGCACAGTTGCGAATAGCAAAATGATTCTCAGTCATAGTGCGCAACAGCGCACAGATGTGAATAGCAAAATGATTCTTAATCTTGGTGCGCAACAGCGCACAGATGCAAGTGGCACAATGCTCAGTTATGGTCCTGACAATAGCACAATGCAAAGTAATGGCCCTGACAAATAGCACATTGCTCAGTAATGGCCCTGACAAATAGCACAATGCTCAGTAATGGCCCTGACAAATAGCACATTGCTCAGTAATGGTTCTGACGAATAGCACAACCCTCTGAAATGGCCCTTGCGAAAATGACACTGTTCAGAAATAGCACTTGCGCAATGGCGCAATGGCACTGTTAGGAAATAGCACTTGCGCAATGGCACTGTTCAGAAATAGCACTTGCGAAAATGACACTGTTCAGAAATAGCACTTGCGCAATGGCACTGTTCAGAAATAGCATTTGCGAAATG